TATTACCTTGTAGATCTTGCTACCATCTGACTCATCTTTCAGCTTGTACACCCATTTGCTGTAATGCTCTTTTGTTATTTGGTAATATCGCCAAATTTTAAGTCTGATTTAACTCTAAAGACTGCATTTTTCATCAATGGCAAGCTTTCATTCTCTTGAATCTTCAATTTGAGTGGCCTCCTCAAAACACTCTAGTTCACCACTATCAGTTAATAAAAAATGGCGTAACGAATGAGAATACCTATGTAGAGGTTGTATCACTTTGCTGGATCACCTGGAACCTGCATCAACATGCACACATGCGAAATACTCAAATGCCTTAAATGAGATAGATTTACTTTTTTGTCACTCCAAGCTTCTTTAGGTAAGCCTTCCTGTAAAGGTATTGATGGACCGCGATTTATCAGATAAACTACAGTGTTTGTTACCTTAGCCTAAAAATGTTTTCGGAAACTTGCCTGCAGCCTCATGTTCCTTGCACACTTCATGATTGTTCTGTTCATGCCCTCAACCACACTATTTTGCTGTGGTGTCCTTGAGACAATGAATTACCTCCTCTATAGTACAAAAATTTTTGAACTTTTGATCACGGTACTCACACTCATTATCTGATTTGAGACACTTTAGCTTCACGTTTATCTTATTTTCTACCATAACCTTTCACTTCTTAAAGATTTAAAATGCATCCGATCCTTGCACGCTTCATGATTGTTCTGTTTATGCCCTCAGCCACATTATTTTGCTGCGGTGTCCTTGAGACAATGAACTACCCCCTCTATAGTACAAAAATTTCTGAACTTTTGATCACGATACTTGCACTCATTACTTGATCTGAGACACTTCAGCTTCACGTTTGTCTTATTTTCTACCATAATCTTTCACTTCTTAAAGATTTCAAATGCATCCAATTTTTTCTTTAAGAAGTAAGCTCATACTTTTCTCGTATGGTCATCAATAAACGTAATAAAATAGTCAGAACCTCCAATAAACTGAACTGGAGTTGGCCCATAAATTTTTTCTTTAAGAAGTAAGCTCATACTTTTCTCATATGGTCATCAATAAACGTAATAAAATAGTGAGAACCTCCAATAAACTGAACTGGAGTTGGCCCATATACTTCAGTATTCACTTCAGTTTTTCAGAAATTGACTTTCTTCTGTTTTTCATACATAGACGGTCTTCATAGAAATCCAGATCAATTGTTTTCAAATCTTGGAGTTTATTTTTAGAAAGTATGGACTTCATACCTTTCGCGCTCATATGCCTAAGTCTATGGTGCTACAAACTGCATCAACCCTGGTTCTAGCTACATCAATGAAATCAATCATTTCATTGATCAAGTGTGTCTTCAATGTTGCCCCGAGTCATCACCAGTGCCACCTGGTTATCTTCTACGAATCACCTGTGAATCAAGTCATGAGTTCTGAATTTGCCAGCCTGCTCACAGAAATATGATTTCTCCTCAGACTTGGAACATGTTTAACTTTAGCATGCTTTCAGACTATTTCATTCGACAACTTGATATCAATATCATAATTTCCTATGATATTGCAGACCTTGTTATCTTATATATAAACATTTCCTAGATCACTCTGAGTATAGTTTTTAAATAAATAGACACATGATTCTACAATCCAAGATTCAATATTTACTAAGGATAACACTTTCGAGTTATTTTGGTTTTTACTAGTGAAGATATTTGCAGAGAGATTCATTTCTTGTTCTCCACCACCAACTTTCCTTGGAGCTTTACAATCCTTCTTGAAATGTTCATTTTTTCCGCAATTCCAACATTCTCCTCTTTCATTTTGTCTGTTGACTTGGACTTTCCTCTTCTGGACTTGAATCTGCCTCTGCTTGTATTTCTATCCAAAATTCTTTCTTTTTATCAGCATTCAACGTAGAATTTGAGGATTCATCATTCGTTGGTCTTCTGTGACTTATCAACATTCAACGTAAAATTTGAAGATTTACCATTCGTTGATATTCTGCGAAATTCTTCATTCAACATCAGACCCGTGATGTCATTGAAGTTCAACTTCGAATTCCCTGAACAATTACTCATCGCCATGATCAAACCATCCCAACTGTCTGGGAATGAAAATATTATCACATGTGCTCTGACCTCATCATCAAAATTAATCCCACAAAACACAGCTGGCTTGTTACCGTATTGAAATTATTCAGATGTTCTGACACTGAACTGTCTTCCACCATATTCATGTTGAATAGCTTCTTCATCAGAAAAACTTTATTGGAAGTAGAAGGTTTTTCATACATTGTTGTCGGTGTTCCCATTAGATCCCCCGCAATTTTTTCATTTAGCATGTTGAACACAACATATGAGGAAGTAGTAACCAGATCAAACCTAGTGTCTTTAGATCCAACACCTCTCATTCCTCCATAGGCATAAACTCAGGCTTCCTGGTAATTCCATGTACTGTCAAGTATAGTTCTCTGCTATAGAAAATTCTCCACTTGCATCTTTCAGAATGCGAAGTTCGTCTCATGAAATTTCTCCACTTTGAACCTTCGTTGACCATTGCTCCACTCGAATCGAACACCACTTTGATACCATTTTGTTGTGGAACTCGGAAGAATCTCTTTCCAAATTAACCATGGAATAGGACCGTGCGGATTCGATAAAAGAACAAACTTATGAGCAAAAACACAACAAATGCAAACTAAAAAAAACACACGAGAATTTAACGTGAAAAACCTAGAATGGGAAAAACCCACGAAACCATGTCAACAGAAAAATTTCACTATGAAAAATTAGAGAATTTAGAGAGAACACGCTCAACTTCCTCTCTACATTGAAGGAAATTTATTGTACTTCATTCCAAGTCCTTTCTGTGAATCCAATTAGAGAGACGCACGTCAAAATCATGAAAATCCTCCACTTAGCAACTTTTTTTCTCACCGGGAACTTGTTGTCGAAGAAACTCTCGCGCATAGGAATCACAAAACAAAGAAAAACCAAGATACGCCCTCGAAGTAGCCCTTAAAACCACAAATTGGGTTTAACATAGCCAGACGCTCGAGTGCCTATGGCTCAGGTAAGCAACGCTTAAGGTTGAATGTTCGCCCGAATTGGGTGCTCGAGAGCCCTATATTGGGTGCTTGAGAGCCCAATATTGGGTGCCTAGGTGTCCAAAAGAGGGCGCTCCTCTGTTGTGCTCGAGACTTGGGCGAAAGGGCACCCGGGGTTGGGAGCTAGAGCGCTCGATACACGGGTAGGTGTTGCGCTTTGCAGTGTTTGTGGTTGCTCCAAATTAAGCTCCACACCATAACCACCACATTATAATTAAGCTTAATTTTTTAGGTTAGGTGATTAGAATCAATAAAGACATAAAGCTCTATGAAATAATTTTAAGATAATATATCGAAAATTTTGAGTTTGCTTAATTGAAATCACACATACTTGAATAAAGATCATTGAATAAGAAAATTAACCAAATGATCAAAAATTAAAATAATGATTAAAATAATATCACAAAAAAGAAAATAGAAACAACTTAATAAAAAGAAAATCAACCTGGTTAAATTTCCAAAATAGGATGATTTTCACATTCTCGAAAACAAGTTTGAATAAATTTAACCAATTTATTAGAGTGTTCATCATCTTTGAGTTCATTGGTAGATCAACTCAAACAATTTACATGAATTCTTTAATACATCTTACACATTATTCCAATTTCACCTTGGAGCTTGATTCTGTTATTTGAGTCATCTTGAATTTACTTTGAACTTATCCTCCAAGCAACCACACATTTAAGTAGTAATCAAATTAGCTTTTCATTTTGATGGTCACTAGAATTGATGACCTTGATATACTTTAAAAGCAACTAATTTGAAATATACTAAATGACTCCAAATAAAAGTTTGTTATTTTCAAATCAAATAGTTAGATACATATGAGCGTATAGTCAACTTTTGTTTGTTGTGATGAAATCATGGAACAGTTTTCTTAACTATTGTTTAGATACACCTACTTTTAGCTTGCTATCTTTCATAACAATCCTTGATCATTTTTTATCAGGCATAATGCTTAAGATAGATTGTATTATATTCTACGGTTACCTTTATTGAACGTTTCATATTAGTAAAAATAATATATTGTAATATCTCTTTATTTAATTTGTCCCTGCATCTAATTGTGATTGTTTTACATAGAGATTGAGAGCTCCCTGTAGTAAAAACTCCCTCCTCCCTCCCTCCCTCCTCCCTCCTGCCTCCTCCCTCCTGCCTCCTCCTCTCTCTGTCTCTCTCTCTCTCTCTGTCTCTCTCTCCTGCCTCCTCCCTCCTGCCTCCTCCTCTCTCTCTCTCTCTCTCTCTCTCTCTCTCTCTCTCTCTTTCTCTCTCTCTGAACTCTAAACGCCCTAGAGGGGTCCTCCCTCTCAAATCTCTTAGAGCCAACATAGAGTGCTGTAATTTTTTATTTTCAAAACCATGTACCTTAACCCCAAACTAAGTTCCACTATATAAGAAAAAAATGGTAAATAAAAAAAAATGGGAATATCTATTTTTATCTTATTTGATTAACTTGGTTTCTACAAACTCCGATTCTATAATAAACATATAGTTTTGCTATTGAAATCACATTCAAAATCAGCAATAACGATACCGTACCTTCCTTTCCCAGTTTAGTGAAGATCAAAACAAAAATTTCTAAGTGCGAGGATAGTTCTGCACCCATGAAATCTTAATTCATCCAGAAGCTTTTGTCGAGACAGATTTAATTGTATGGAAATTTAATAGTATCGAAATTTTGAAAACAGAAATAGGGAAGTCACTAAGACATGGAAGATAAAATTAAAACAATAAAAAGTGATCTGCAGAAAATAACAATAATGTATTTGTTCATCAGATTAGTGTCTGGAAGAAGTTTAGTGACTCGATTGATGGCTGGCTGTTGAGCAGATTTGTCAAGGTTGAAGTTAATACTTTATGTTTCATTTTAAAACTTAATTGATATTAATTCGTTTGTTTGCTTGCAGATTCCCAAATTAATTAAGGAATACATTGATGAAGTCTCAACCCAACTGAAAATGGTATGCAACTCTGATTCCGAGGAGTTGCTCTTAGAAGAGAAACTTACTTTCATGCATGAGACAAGGCATTCCTTTGGCAGAACAGCACTTCTGTTGAGTGGGGGTGCTTCTTTAGGTGCTTTCCATGTAGGTGTAGTGAAAACATTAGTTGAGCACAAGCTTTTACCCCGCATAATTGCTGGGTCTAGTGTAGGTTCCATCGTTTGTGCTATCGTTGCAACGCGGTCTTGGCCTGAGCTTGAGAGTTTCTTCGAGGACTCTTGGCATTCACTTCAGTTCTTTGATCAGATGGGTGGAATTTTCACAGTGGTTAAGAGGGTGATGACACATGGAGCGGTTCTTGAAATAAGACAGCGGAGACATCTTACCAGCAATTTAACTTTCCAGGAGGCTTATGATGTTACAGGCCGTATACTAGGCATCACAGTTTGCTCCCCAAGGAAGCACGAACCCCCACGATGTCTTAACTACTTGACTTCCCCGCATGTTGTTATATGGAGTGCAGTGACTGCATCTTGTGCTTTCCCGGGTCTATTTGAAGCTCAGGAGTTGATGGCAAAGGATAGATTTGGAGAGATTGTACCTTTTCATGCACCCTTTTCAGGGGGACTGGAGCAGTTGTCAGGAGCTTCTACTCGGCGATGGAGGGATGGAAGCTTGGAAAGTGATTTACCTACGTTGCAGTTGAAGGAGTTATTCAATGTCAATCATTTTATTGTTAGCCAAGCCAATCCTCATATAGCACCGCTGTTGAGGTTAAAGGAACTTGTGAGAGCTTATGGAGGCAATTTTGCAGCTAAGGTACATTATTATCTATTAGCTCTCAGCATCTTTCACCTATTTCTTGCTAGCGGCAATTACATGCATAGCACTCTAGCTTTGATATTTACAAATTTAGCACCATCATTTTTCAAATTCTCACTCAAATATGACATGATAAAATCCCAACCCATATTTTGTCAATTTTATCAGATTGATCGTGGCGCGCATAAATGCATTAGTCCAGTAGTTTTAAAAAATAAGCATTACATACATTCCACCTATATCCTATGTATTTACACATCTAACACTTAAACTTTGCTTTTTTACATTTATACCGCCAAAATCTTTTATATCACATGAAAAATACCACCACTTTAACTTTAGAAAAGTGAAATACACATTTTCATGCAAAGCTATGGTGGTTTGTATGTGAAACTAGGTGTTAGATATATAAATACATAAGAATTGAGTGGTTTGTAAATCTTCCTAAAAATGGTCACCTGGGTGCTAGTTTTGTAAATAATAATATTTTGAGTGCTATGCATGTAATTATCCCTTCTAGCTAGGGGCATGCTTGATTTTTTGTGTTCTTCTTGTTTCAATTACTTTAATGTTTGGTCTTAGAAAGTTATTGAATTTGTAATTACTTTTTTTTTCACATTTTGCAACATTCTGACTTGGCTTTACTTTGTCTCAATTAAGTAGCTTGCTCATCTTGCTGAGATGGAGATTAAGCACAGATGCAATCAAATTCTTGAACTCGGGTTTCCTCTGGGAGGCCTAGCAAAATTGTTTGCCCAAGAATGGGAAGGTGATGTGACTATTGTCATGCCTGCTACACTGGCTCAGGTATTAAGCAAATCTTCTACGGCTAGGCGTGTCAGATAGATGACTGATCTAAGTAAAGTTCTTAGGCAAAACTAAAATATATCCGGCATTTTTTCTCTTGTTTTCTCAGTATTCAAAAATCATACAAAATCCATCTTACGTGGAGCTCCAAAAGGCTGTCAACCAAGGCCGAAGGTGCACCTGGGAGAAGCTGTCTGCCATAAAGGCCAATTGTGCTATAGAACTTGCATTGGATGAATGTGTTGCCCTTCTCAACCACATGCGTAGGCTCAAGAGGAGCGTTGAGAGGGCCGCCTCTTCTCATGGGCTTGCAAGCACTGTAAAATTGAGTGCTTCAAGAAGGATTCCATCATGGAATTGTATTGCTAGAGAAAACTCATCCGGGTCACTGGACGAAGAAACTCTTGCTGACCCCAGTACTTCAAAACATCAGAGCCATGTTACTGGCTCCTTAAGCAGTAGCCATAGCCAAATTATTATACATGATGTGAGTGATAGTGAATCAGAAAGCATAGACCTTAATTCATGGACAAGAAGTGGAGGACCATTAATGAGAACTGCCTCGGCAAACAAATTTATCAACTTCATGCAAAATCTGGAAACTGACTCGGAGTTCATTAGTTCACAGAGGGATGATGAAGTTGATGGTTCAGCTGCACAGTCCAGTACCATTGGGACTCAGCCGGAAAGAAGAGATTCTTTGTATAACAACTCTAGAGTTTCTACTGATAGAAGTTTGGTGAACTCCGACTCGTGTTCTCAAGAATCAGTCGGTAGGCTTCCAATTGCTTCCACCAGAATCCTAGTTAATGAAGGTGATTTGTTGCAGCCTGAAAGGATTCAAAACGGCATTGTACTGAGTATAGTGAGGAGGAATGATTTGAGTTTCGCACAAAGAGGCACTGATTCTGAACAGCCGCAAAGCTCATCTACAGAAGCTGATTCTGAGGAAATGCAGATCGAAAATTGTGATGCCAGTTCTACTTCTGATTATGGAGATGCTGATGGTGAAAGTTGAACTCTTATAAGCAGTGCTTCCGATCACAATGATAGTTAAGGCTCATCTGTGGGCTCATTTTTCGCCTACTAAAGTGCATGATCGAGATAATTTGAGCATACTTTCGACGGAGTCTTTCTTTCCTGCAACCTTTTTACTTCCCTCTTTTTCCAGCTTTTAGAGAATTCCGCAAATTGAGTTCTCCAATCAAAGCGTAAGACACTCATAACTTTGTCACCTGATGAATATTGCTTTGATGTAACCCATGTAATTCTGTACATCTAATTTTGTATATTGTAGACAAAAAAGCATGCTTATTTTCAGGGATTTGAAGAAAGAATTTTCAGTGATTTCAATTGTGTTATCGAAGTTTTGCTATGAGTAGAATACTAAGCAATGGTAAGGAGTATAAGAAATGCACTAGTGAATTTGTACTCTACATGATAAGCTCTTTTAACTCTGACTGGCTGCTTGTGATCATTTTCTCAAAATAGTTAGTCTCTTGCTCTAAAAGAATATTCATTGGGTGGATTATGTAGCATTTGTTATCAAAATGTGGCATGCCTAGATAGCATCTCTATTGTGTAGCATTATTATAGTCAATGAATTTCATATCCTTGTATACATCTATTTAGTGCAATTGCTTTAATCCATATATGGAGCATAGTAGCACATTTTAATTAATTCTATAAAGATTGTTCTAAATAGTAATTTCATTCATTTGAGGAAATTTGTTCTTTAAACTTAGAATAATTAATAATTTCTCTAATCACCTCATGTAATTTTGTTGAGAGCATTAGCTTTATCTTTTCTTTTTTAAAACTATGGATTATATTTCTTAAATCTCCTTCATAATCTCATCTGCATTAATCTTCCTCTTCACCCTATGGTCCTCCTATAAACCCCACATATTTTGGGCACCCTTATAATCTTTTCTTTTTGCATTGATTTTATTTTGCTATTACTCAAATGATTCTCATAAATACCAATCAATAATTGTTTTTGCCATACATATTTTAATACTCACAATTTGTGGTGGAGATATGACATGAGAGACATGCCTTTAATTCTTAAAGTTCTTACTTTCCCAAGCTCTTTATGACTAGTCATGATCATTTAATTAACAATAGTTTAATTTCTTCATTTTATTTGTGTTTACATAGGTCTTTCACCTTCTTGCACTTTATTTTCGTGAATATTCTATTTCTAGCTTGATTTCTCCAATACTAAAAAAAGCTATGCTCACATTTTCTTTTTCTTTTGCTAATGTAATGTGTTAGGGTGAGAAACATAATTCTAAGAAATAGGGAGCATTCAAATTGTAAATCCACGTATAGCACAAACTTCATTCTTCTAAATGAAATGAAGAAGCAATATTAATGACCTTACACATAATAGAATGATAGAACTAGGGTGAAGGGAGCGAAACAATACTACTATTTAAAAAAAAAAAAGGGAAAATGTAGAATGGAAGAGTGAAATAGCACTTTTTCCCTTCTCTCCATTTCTTTATTTTTATTTTTGCTTTCTTATTTTTTTTCCACTCATTTCTTAGATATTACTATAAAAACATTTAACACAAGGGTTAAACACATAGGTTATTACTTCAACTATCTTTGAATAAACTTGTGAACCAAATGAACCCGAAAAGGTGATTGGTGACATTGAGTTATCTCAATCTCTATATAAATTCTCTTTATTCTTAAAAATTTTGGTTTTCTAATGAAAGTGTTTTCGTATTCTAAATATCTTAAATTTGAAGAATTTTTCACAACCAAAAGGCGGGATTGCTTCAATTCAATGAGGTTTTCTGTTGAGTCTTACATTCTCTAATGTTATACCTTTTGGTTTACTTTGTTTGGGATAGTGATTGATTTGGGATAGTGATTGATTATATTTATGAAAATATACTTAGGATAAGGTTGATGGGGCTGATAAGCATGTAGGTTATTGGGCTTTTGCAAGCCTTATTTGACTTGAACTTAAACCATAATAGGGTTATCCTTTCTTTGATGAGAAAATATACATGGATGGTTGGTCTCTCAAATGATTCCTTATCAATTTCCTTTACATTTTTTGTTTCTCTCAAATATTATAAATTAATATAAACTTTCAATCATGATTAACATTAACATGAACTTTTTAATTTTGTAATTGTCTTTTTTTTTAATGCATCATCCCTCTTTTTAAAAAAGCCATTGATTACACTATTTCTATAAAAAGTCTTATCCAAGATTTCTTCAAAAGTATAATTTATAGTTTCATGCTTGGTAATCCAAAATTTGAATTTTGTTGTGCCCGACTTTTTGATCTTAAGAAGTTGTGTTCTCCATTTAACCTTGATAGTTATTGATACTCTTCTTAATGAAGAATTAGATGCGAGGAAGGGCAAGGGGTGTGGGCAAGATCTTTGCTCTTATATTATGTAATCATTAATGCAAATAGAAGCTATAAATTTATTACTTATAGAAATAGAATTAGAAGTTCAAATCAAATTAAATTATATTTTAATTTAAATTTTTTTCTTATTAATTCTACATTGATTTATTAAAAAAAAATTAAAATACATATTCTTTAAAATATTAAAATATAAATAATTATTATCTTTTGTTGCTTCAATTTTTTGGGTTCAACAAGATTTCTTTGGAAAAGTTTTATACAAGTTATTTTTTGTAGAAGTTTAGTTTCATGGTGGATGAGGCAAAAGAACTAACCCAAAAAATGTCTTCTCAAAAACTATCTTTGTTAATACTTAATATACTTATTCTGAAGCCTGGTCATCCTCACATGGTTGCATGAAAAAAAAACACCAATCTTTTAAAATCTTGGTTCCAACCATCCTTCCACTCTTTCATGTAAACTATAAAGTAGAAAATACTTATAAATGTGTTTGGTGTGATAATGATAAAGATGACTTTAAAAATTTGAGGACATGAATAATCTCTCAAGAAAAATGGGTTGAGAGACAAAGTTAAAAATTAGTCACACTAAAACTATAACTCATCAAACCATACTAATATGACACACAAAGAATGATATTGTTCTCGCAAGTTTCATATAATGGCTAGAAGACCTTCTTGGTAGTTGATGAGATGATAAAAGAGAGCGGAGAACTTAAAACCCTTAAAGATCTTAAAGAACTTCTTTCATATAGAATTCACTATAAGAGTGGTCATTAGAGGAGGAGAAAATGACATTAAAATATAAATGAAAAAATGAGCCCTTTGATAGGATATTTATGGAGCAACAAATTAAAAAAGACTAGAAAAATATCTCAACAGTTATGAGGAGTAATTTTCCAGTGCAGATTTCAAGGTTGAGATCCGACGGTCGGTAACCTTCAAATCTAACAATCGACGGATTCAAGATGGGGCGACCGACGACATCTGGATGACCGACCATAAGAGATCTGTGTACATGAGGAGGCCTACAATATGGGTCTACAATGCTGATTTGATCTCTTACTCTATCTGCCTGCGTAAGTGTTCAGAGTGGGAAACTCTTCCATCCTTGGGGTGGCTTCCCCACCTCAAGCCTCCATGCCTTCATAATGTGCAAAAAGTAGAGTGGCCTGACTACAAATTTCATGGGACTTGTGTGTTTCAATCGCTGGAGTTCTTAGCTGAATTGTTCCTCGTTAATTGCCCAAATCTGCAGGAGTTGTCCATTTGCCTCCTAAGCTCAATAAAATGGAGATAGGTAAGCCTAAATGGAAAGCTTTGAACTTCAAACATGGCACTAGCAACTGTTGCAGCACTTTAAATTATATTCTCCTCAAGAGGCCAGAGGTTCTTTTGGGTCCAAACGTCAATCTAGAGCTGAAAATAAATAGAGAGCATATACAGATCCACAAGAGAATAGACGATTCATGGACGATTCATTATCGTGCAAGTTCCCTTTGCATTTTTTGTTGTGAACATCCCTTTCAAGAGATTTCAGTTATTGTTGCTCATTTTCTTGTTCATGGCATGATCTACACTCACTACATCGTTTAAAATGTTAAATCCAAAACTATCTGGCAGATCATATACAAGAAATAGAGCGTTAAATCGATGAAGAAAATCATGGGTTAGAGTGAGAGAAGAAGGAAAGAGAAGAATTGAAAGATTTGCACCATCGGGGGTGAATCGGAGTGTTCAGGGGCTTGTGGGCCCATCTTATTTCATAAAAAAAGGAGCTTACAATTACGGCCCCAAAAACACTTTAAATGAATGGTTTCTTTTATTTATAGATAATATGAGTGTCAAAAAGTAAATTACAATATCATATTTATTTTAAAGTGGTAGTACGAGATATTTTAATCTTTTTTATGATGATTGTTCGGAGGGAAAAGTAGTTCAATGGCTGAGTCCTCTAAAAAGTCGGCCCGATAGTAATCAATTCAGTCTTTCTGTCTGCAGATAACTTTGAGATTCATGTAGATCATTTTATGATCATCTTTAAATATAAAGATAAATTAACCTTCATACAAAAATACTACAAAATTGTTACCATTCGGACGATGTTACTTGTCGTTCGCTTACCGATTAGCGACGTTTAGGTACGGGCGTATCGGTGGAAGACGCGTCGGAGTCGAAGCAGACGTGGCTTAACTGTAGACCCGTACGCCTCATTCCGATGCGACCGTCTCATCGCCACGGCTAAGAATAGAAATATATGGAACAGTGAACGGAAAAATAATATATATAATGAGCATAAAAATAAGCAAATAAAAGAGTTGTCACTTTTCAGTAGAACGTGACTTCAATTCACTCAATGCGTCAAATCCACGGGATCTTTGGCAGCCTCACTAAAATTTTTTTGGCACAATATCTTAATTAAAATTTTAGAAAACAAACCTTCATCTATTATTATTTTTTGAATAGATGTAATAAATATAATATGTGATCAACTAATTTTCTTGAGATTATAATTGTCCTAAAACAATCATAATAAATAAAATCATCCTACTTTGTTTTAGAATAAATAACAATCACAAATTGTGTATTGTTATTTTTGAAACAAAATAAATAAATAAAATTTGACTTTTTAAGCTTCATAATAATATTTATGGTATTAATTATTTTTGGATAAGTTTTTTTTTAGTTTTCAATTAAGATAAAATCTCTCTTTTGTGTTCATAAGTTTGTTAGTAAAGTTGAATATAAAAAAATTGGTTAAAATATGATAAGACTTCAACAAATTTTTATCATCTATCATTAATCTCGAGACATAGCACAGATCTCGAAATAGTTTTTTGAGCGAAAAATATTCAAGCATCGATAAAAAGTCATCCAGAACTCTGATTTCAACAAACTTACGGTCAAACTTACCGGCTCAATGAGACGGACCCAATGATATTAAAATTAGTCTAATTTGAGCCAATTCAAGCTCAGATGAAGTCATTAAA